AGATATATTAAAGATATATCTTCTTTTTTCTTCCCCCTTCCTCCTCTCCTGCATTTCATCATCTTTGAATTTCCTACATTTAGCTCTAATCCCCTTTCTTCCAGGTATCTTTTTAATTTTTTCAACATCACTTTCATTCCACTTTCACTCTTTGCCATCATCACTATATCATCTGCATATCCTAATGTCCATATTTTCTTCCTTCCTATCACTACCCCTCCTTCTTGCACCTGTTTGATCTTGACTTCCAGGTCGGCGAACGCAAGATTAAATAGCGTGGTGCTGAAAGGGCACCCTTGCCTTACGCCTTTGTAAGGCTCAAACTCCCCAATTATTTCTCCTTCAACTTTTATCTTACTCCCTGTTTTCTTATATATTTCTTCTATTCTTTTCCCGATTTTCCCATTTATCCCTTTCTCTTTCATGATTTCCAATATTCTCTTCCTCTTTATCTTGTCAAAAGCGGCCTTCGTGTTGGCAAAGAATACGTACAGTTTTCCTCCTTTTTCCCTTATTTCCTTCCCTATTATAGTTTTTAATATATATATATATATATTACGTTCATTATTCCTCTTTTCTTCCTGAATCCCATCTGCGTATCGCTTAACGTCTCTTTTGCTTCTAGTTCTCTTTCCAGCTTTTTCCTCAGTATTTCCGCGTATATTTTATATCACATCTCCATCAACGTTATTCCTCTGTAGTTTTTTACTTCTTCTTTCCTCCCTTTCTTATATATTGGTACTATTATTCCCTTCCTCCATTCTTCCGGGTATCCTTCTCCGTTTCATGTTCCATTTAAGCATTTTGTCATATCTTTTAACAAGCCTTCCTTGCCTTCCATTCACGCTTCATTTGCTATATCATCTTCTCCTGTCGCCTTTTTTTTTTTATTCTTCTTATTACATCTTTTACTTCTTTTACTTTGATTTCTTCATCTTCCTGTCCTTCGCTGTATTCAGTTTCTTCTCCTTTGCCTTCTTCCTTTTCTTTCTCTCTCAGTTGTCCCTTGAAGTGCTTTAACCATTCTTTTTTTCTTATATTTTCATCTAATCCAATTCTTTTCTTCCTATTGCAATTCACTTTACCCAAAAATTTTCTTCTCGTCTTATCTTTTCTTATTTATTCCGGCACTCTTTTCCCTTCAGCTTCTTTCGCTTTTCTTATTTCCTCTCTGTATTCTCTGTATGTTTCTAGGTATTTGTCTCTGTCTCATTCCCTTTTTCTTACCTTATTTAACTCTGCCATCTCTCTAGCCCTTTTTATCCTACATTTTTCTCTCCACCAGCTTTTTTTCGATCCTTTTTTATTCCTTATCTTCTTTTTTACGACTGCATTCCTAACTTTATTTTTTATCTCTTTCCATTTTTCTGCTTCCTCTATTGCATCTATCCATCTCTGATACTCTCTTATACCTTCTTCGCTCCAGTCGTCTATCATTCATTCTTCCTCTTCTTTTCTTTCTTCTATTATTTTATCTCCCAATTCCACTTCTACTGGTTAGTGGTCCGACTTTAGCCTCTCTTTTATTTGAACCCTTTTTATCGCCTCATCACCTTCCTCGCTACCTACTACATAATCTATCCTTGACATTCCTCTCGCTCCTATATATGTTATTTCTCCCTCTTCATCTCCTTCTTTTCTCCCATTCATTATCACTAAACCCATTTCTCCTAACCATTTTATTATTTCTTCTCCCTCTGTGTTTAACACTTTGTCCTTGGCCTTTATTTCTTCTAGGTTTTCTTCTGTCTACCATTCTCTCCTTTCATTTCCTGTTCTTACATTGAAGTCTCCTCCTATAATTATTGTTTTTCCTTTGTTTTTCTCAATCTCTTCGCTTAGGTAAGTTTTCCTAGTTTTTCCTAGTTTTTCCAATCTCTTCGCTTAGGTAAGTTTTCCTAGTTTTTCCTAGTTTTCCTTCATAGTTTTCCTTTTTTTCATGTTGCATATACACCGTTGCTATCATGTATTTCTTTCCTCTGATCTTTATTTCATCTGCTATTACCTCACTTGTACTTTCTTTCTTCCATTCAACCTTGCTCATCCCTTTGCTCTCTCTTACCGCCATTATTCCTCCCCCTATTTCTCTCTCCCTTCTTCCTTCCCTTCTTGAGTCTCTCCACTCTATGTTATACCCTTTCAGTTGCTTCTCTGCCCCAGTTTTTGCCCCTTGCCTCTTCACCCAAGTTTCTGTTAGGCCTATTATATCGAATTCCCTTACATATTCCCAGTCGTCGTCCTCCATGCTCCTAATCTCCACCACGTTCCAGAATAGTATCTTTATTGACTTTCTTCCCTCTCTCTCCCTTCCCTCCTCTCTCTCTCTCTTCCGCCCTTTTTCCTGCCATTTTTCCCTCCTTCTCGCTCCACCACCATTCTTCTTCCTTTGACTTCACCCTTTTATACCACATCTTTACCTCTTTACCTTTACTTTTTATTTCTCTCACTTTTCTTCTTACTTCTTCTCTTATCTTCTTCTGCTTCCACATCCAGTCCTGATCTATGATGCGCATCTAATTTGACATATCTTTTTTCCTCTTTCTCCCCGATCCTCCCTCCTCGCTGTCCCTCCTATTCTTCTCAGATTCGCTATCCCCCTTTCATTTCTAGTTCCTCCCTTAACCAATCCTCTGCCTCTCTCTTCCTTCCCATCTTACCCCCCCCCCCTCTAAGTCTGTCACAATTATATTGTTTATCCTGCTTTCTCTATCCATTTTTTCTCTCATATACTCTATTTCATCCTTATTGCTTATTTCTGTTCCTCTTTGCTCCTCGTTTCCTCCTTCCATACTTACTTTTAGTTTCACGCACTCTTCTTCCAACTAGGTCATCCTCTCTCTCCATTGTTTCCGCAGTTTCTTTTCTCTAAGTTCTGCCTTTTCCCTTTCTTCCTTCATCTCTTTTTTCCTTTCTTCTCTCTTTCTCTCTCTTTTGTTTTATTCTAACTTTTCCTATTTCTTTCTCCCATCTTTCTTCTCTTCTTTTCACCTCTGCCTCCATTCTTTCCATTTTCTCTATTATTTCTTTAAACGTTTCTGTCCTTTCGCTCCTTTCTTCCTCCCTTGCTTCTCTTAATTCCCATATCTCCGTCAGTATTTTTTCCATTATATTTTCTGTCCCACTATTTTTTCCCACTTCTCTTATCGTGTTATCCAACCCTTCTCCCCCCCCCCCCGTTTCACTTTCCTCACTTTCGCTCTTGTATCTTTTGGCTTTTCTCATTTCTCCTCTAATATTCTCCCTCAGCCCTTCTTCGCTCTCTTTCCCCCTCACCCCCTTTACTCCTCCCTTCTTTTCCTCCTCTATGCATTTCTTATTCCATCCTTCCATCTTTATCTCTCATTTTTCCGGCTGTCACAAACATTTCTTTCACTAACTCGTACGCCTTAATTCGCCTCTCTAATTCTGCGCGTGATCCCATCTTTATTCCCTATCTTACCTTTTCTGTCTTCGCCTTTACTTCTTACCGCCCCTCCTCTCTACCTGCCTTTCCCGCTTCCTGATTTTCTCTCTTAACTTCAACTTTTCTCTTTTTTTTTTCCTCTCTCTCTGCTTTTTCTTAATCTTCTCCAAACCTCTCTCTCTCTCTACTCCACTTCTCTTCCACCTCCACCTTCTTTCCACCTCTATCTCTCCCCTCAAACACTTTTCCTCTCTAACTTTCTCACCAAAACTCGCACTCACAACCAAGACACGTCCACATCCCTCCACGAGTCAAAACCCGCTCTATTTTTCTAAATATTTTTTGTTAATTTTATTGCCCGTAAAATGCCACTGCGTCCAACAATAACATTGTCTTAATTTGAAAGTATCAAAAGGTCTATCAATATTAAACTTGGAATAGATATTTAATATTTCAGATATTAACTATTTACCGTGATTATATTCAATGACCGGAATCCCTGCCAGTTCAAAATCAATTCCATAATTATATGTAAAGCTAAAACAGACTGTATCTTTTCTCCCGCAATATTCTTATATACAAAGCGTTTCATCGGTATCTCAGGCTACTGACGAGAAGGTTAGGAGTTGCTCGTAACGTTCGTACCATCCAGAGGTCGCCTGAGTCTCTCCGCGCGAAGATACGAACATAGGTCGGATAATTTGGTACACACCTCGTATATGTACTTTTTACGGTATTCATGTATAAGTTGTGTACGTATCAGAATATCAATTGAATTATAGGAGTGCACCAACATTGTCACATCAACAAACTTAGTATGTAGTAGTAAATTAGTAGTGTAAAGTAAATGTAGTGATTATTTATCTCGTCATATCCTGTATATCAAATCATTAAGAAGATCTTTTGATAAATTTTAAGAACTAAATTCCTAATCTTTTAAAGAATTACTCATTATTTTGTCAGAACTATTCATACCAGAATTTCTTTTAATTTATTAAATTTCGAAAAATTTTGTTTTTTTCTTTTTTTTTTGGGATATTAAATTTTTATTTTAAATTTCCAAAATATAAATACAGATTTTTAATCAGTAACCTCGAAAACCTTTGTTATCTATAGCATGTATTGCAGTAAAATATGACTTTCAAAAGATTACAAAGTTTTTAATTTTTGATCTAAGAATAGTTAAAGAAAATATTTCTGACTTTGTTAATTGTTAATTGATAAGATTTCTGAACGAGGTTTGAGATACGTATATTCTTTGTTACATTAAGGTAATTCTTGATTTTTTAAAATTATTTTTACTTTTTAATAATTCTAAAATAAATACATAGAATACTGAATTTTTAATTTTTGTACTAGTTTTATAGAAAAAATATTTGCTTCCATAAATTTGTTCTTAGTAGGGGAAGGTTTATTTTGAGTATTGAAAAGCCGGTCATTTTTCCGAAAAGTCTAGAAAATTGAATACTCGTAAATGTATGTCAAATCTAAAACAGAATGAAAATATGCTAAATTTTTCGACGGGCTCTAAAAATAAAGGAATAACGTTTTATTGGTCGTTTTATATTTAATAATGGAAACATGAATAAGAACAAACCTCTATCAGTGGCAGCAATAACTAACTCATGATAATCTGTGATCTCTCTGTCTAAAGCCGCTCCCAAACAAATATCACCGGTATCACTGCGTATTATGAACTGTTCGGTTACAGGCATCTCTGGTGCAAGTGTATAATTGACTATGGCATTTACGCCGCAATCTGGATCTGAAGCTCGAACCTGAAGATACACATAATTAGTAAAACAAAAATAATTGTATTTAAATTGGATTCATATCGACAGAAATCACACTGAACAACAAAAGTTAAGGTCCAAAATGTTTAATTCAAGTAAATATAATATTATTATATATTTTTTGTCGTAGAAGACGAAAAAGATCTCGGTTTTTACCGACTTCAAAAAAAGGAGAAGATTCTGTATGTGGCATGAATTATTTTTTGTTTCCGTATATTTTTTAAATGGTCCAACTGATTTCAATATCGACGTAGATCTCATTAAAAAACTATTGTAACGGGGTGGGTACCATTTAATTAATTTTATCCGCGTAATCGTATTGAAAAACGCACGTAATTACCTATGTTCAATACGAAAGTCGGAGAGCAAGAGGAAACAGGTGTCAGTCAACTAACTAACTACGGGAGTGAAATCAATACGGAATAAACACGTCAAAAGTACTGGTTAATATCAAGGTCGAAAACTCTTTATTATACTCCCTGAATGTTACACTAGAATTAGCCCGCGTGTTTATGTTTACAGTGGCGCTCGCACGACGACGACATACAGAGTCGGATCGCTCGCCGCTCTTCGTTAGCAGAGCTATTACATGCACGCTTCGCTTCGAGTACGGAAAATTAATTATCATGCATGCAATCGCGGTCGCGAGATTAAGCTGGCCAGCTTACCTTTTAGCAGTCTTGCGGTGAACGGATGAGCAACTCGCACTCTCGTAGCGGTAAAGTTTGTCTGTTCTTTTCGCGGATCACGAATTCGCACGCACGTGGTTTCGCCCTCGATGGTGAAACCTCACACACCCACACACTGGATTCCGCAGGGAATGACGCTACTTCAGCTGGCTCAGGTCTGCACTCTGTATAGCTCGGTAACCACTTTTTATTAATCTCTGGGGCACGTACGGACAATCAGGTCGCGAACCTCAATTTCTGTGGCCTCCGTATCGATAGTTGATTCTTCACTTTTGGCCAAGCGTGACGATGGCTAATCCCTCACTAGTTCATTTTCAATAGCGCGCGTTCCGCCTCGTCGCGAGCCGAATTCCCTCATTACGTATTTCGTCTCCCGGTAGGTTCTGCCCCCGCGGACAGTCACTAGGTTAGGCTATTAGCGCTAATATGACTTTTACCGTCACAGCCCCCTTCTAGTCTGGACCTATGGGTTCCTCGACGATAATATTATTAGCGCTATCCCTTCCGAGGTGGAATGGAGAAAGGATAATAAAGGGTCATAGTCCATGTGATATTTCAAGCAATGTTTACTTGGAGAGAGTGTGTGTGCGGTCCTGCCCACGGGGGCAGGGAACGTTAACCTGGCTGGTCTCGCCGGTTTCTCCTGGCCTTCATCGTCCAAAGGGGGACGCGCGCGTGCCTCCCATCCCAGCCTCTCCTGGACCAGGTCGACGTGTTGCCGCACACAAGGACAACGGTCTGTGCGGGTCACTCCGGGGTAATGGCACACGTTGCACCCTTCCCACTGAGCGCGGGAGAGCGTGCCCCGTGGGAGGCCTCGTTCTCTGGGGGTCAGTGGCAACCCGTTCCGCCGGTTCGGGACGGACCATAACGGCAATTCTACCGTAGGGTTCTCACCCGTGGACCCTACCACAAGATTAATGTGGATGGGCCCCGTTGCTTGACCCCCGTTGCTGCCGTCTACATTAACCACCAGGTTTACCCCGCACGTCCGTGGGCCCTGGCGTCTCTTGGCCTCCAACCCGGCCCTCGGAGCCGCTGGGCTGGCTCCGATGACCGGAGGCTGGGAGAGGCCTATGGGTGTGTCATTCACCGGGCCCTCGAGGGCCTGGCGGTGGCGACGCTGGACCTCTTTCAACGCCTGCGCGAACTGGTGTCGGCGGGACACCACCTGACTCCAGTGTTCTAAGTCACTGGGGCGATGCCCCGCGGCCGTATACGCGTCGTATTCTGCGTATACGGCTCGTTGGAGGGTGTTGAGGGTAGTCTAGCCTTGTTCGACCTCCCTCAAACCCTCCACGATTTTCTTCCAGGTCCGTTCGCCAGGCGAAAATGCTTGGCTAGTGAACCTGGGGCGCCAGGTCGCATCGCCGAAGGTCGTCTCCTCAGTCTGTTTCCCGATGGAGGTTGGTGGAGCTCTCATCGGGATTGCAGCCGCCGTTGCCCCCGGCAAGTGGGGTGCCTCGTTTCGTACGACGCCCTGGACAGTCGAGGAGGGCAATGGTTCTTCACCTGGGAGTTCCTCGATGATTACGGATGACGAGCTCGCGTGAGCTCGCATCCGTGCTTGTTCTTCTTCTTCTTTCTTCTCCCCCAGGAGGTGCAGGGCGGCGTGTACGACGCCCTCGACGACGGGGCTCAAATCTAGTCCGATGAGGGCGGCCGCCGCCTGCTCGAATTGCTCGAGCGTGATCTGCATCCTGTAATCATCCCACACATCAGTATTTAGAATATTTTCCTCGGGTATCGAAGGTGGGGGCCTGTTCGGCTGCCCAGGGCCTTCGTCGCCGAGGCCGAAGGTGGGGTCCTTGGCGTCGGTATCCCAGGTCCTTCGATCGCAGGGCCTCATGCGTCCGCAGTCGGTATTCTCGGTGGTCTACCCCTCTTCCTTTTTTCGACGATGGGAAGGGGAACACGTGTATTCTGTCGATGTAGTGTAGTGTGTGTGGTTAGTGCATACTTGCGAGGTCTCCCTCGCGGGTGCTTCTCCGCGTTAGTTGATGGGGTGGTTATTGGGATCTTGACGAGGGGATCGGGAGGGATGTAGCGAGGGGGGCTCGAAGTTGTCGCGTTGTCATTCCGGAGTGGGTCACCTGAAGTGTCGGCGCATCCGTTTCCGCGTATCATCGCCTCGCTCGCATTAGGCGGGACGCTCGTCGCCTTAGTTCCCTCGGTGGTAGAGATCTCGTCGTCATCTCGTCGTCGGGTCCCATCATGAATAATCAACAAACCAAGGTATGTGGCCTCAGGCTTGCAGAAGACACTCTTCTCTCGATTAATCGAGAGGCCAGCCCTACACAACCTATCCAACTCGGTTTTAAGACGTTGTGGGTGATCTCCGAATTTGGACGATACTACGATGATATCGTCCAAACAGGCGAAGGCGAAACCGCCAAGCTCGGGTCCGATCACGCTATCTATCAACCGTTGGAAGGTGGCGTCGGCGTACGAGGGACCGAATGGTATTCGTACGAACCGGAGGTGTCCCAGTCCGGGCACAGTAAAGGCAGTGATATGTCGAGATTCGGTCTTAAATGGTATCGTATCACCGACCCGAATCTCGTGTTCGATACCTGTTGCACGTCCCAGTCCCACGGGGACCTGCGATAAGGCCTCGCCGATGGTCCTCTGCAATATCGCCCGTTGAGAGGCTGTTACCTCGGCTAGTCCGATAATAGCTAATCTCGGACCAGCCTTCAAACTAGCTACCTCTAGTTTCATCTTGGTTTGTGATTTCTTGAGCAGTAATGTATCATCGTCCGGATCAAGTACTGCTCTAAATAACCTAATAAAGTTCACTCCTAGGATACATTCATCGACGAGGGTAGGGAGGATAGCTACTCTCGTCGGCATCGTTATCTTCCCCACGGTGAACGGCAACATGGCGTGACCAACGATCGTTAACTTACGACTGTCTGGTAGTCCTGCTGTACCCGCGTGGGTGGTGTCCAATCTGACGCCTAGCACAGACGCTATCTGCAGAGCATTACTACCCATGGCTGTGGTGGAAGCTCCCGGATCATAGAGGGCCCGTATCTGGAAGTCTCCTATTTTCACCGGCAGCCACCAACGCGTTTCCTGTTCCGGGGAATATCGGGAAACAGTTTCGACGGCTCCACAGCTTTGCTCCTTGTACACCACCTTGGTTCGGACAATCGGAGTTTCCATGGGATTACCTTTCGACGGTTTATCTGCCGCTACCCGTGCCCCCAAGGGCGTGTGCGATCTATTCGCCACCACCTCGGCCGGTCCAGGGTCTTGGGCTTTACTAACGTCGATACCCTTTGACGGTTTATCTACCGTTACCCGCGCCCCCGAGGGCGTGTGCAATCCATTCGCCACCACCTCGGCCGGTCCAGGGTCTTGGGCTTTACTAACGTCATTACCCTTCCACTCCGCGTTCACTCTACCGCCACGTTCATCATTGGCGTCACCAGGGGAGTTCTCGCTCTCGTCGCTCAACACGCACGCTACTAATGGCACGGGCTGTGTTGACGAAGGCCGCGAGACCTCGTTAACGGGGTTTGGGTTAGGGGACGAAGGAGTGGGGTCAACCCCACCTAACCACTCCTTTCCTCGTTTCCCTTATTGCATTGGGGGCAGTACTTCCTGCTGTACCCCAGTAAACCACACTCGATGCATTTGAGTGGCTTAGAGAAACCCCTCTCTCTTCTGCGAGGAGCTTCCGGCTTCTTAGCTCGGTCCTCAGAGGTCAGGCGAAGTTATTCTTCATCCCTTCCGCTACCTTCTTGAGAGATAGTAGCACTTAGCTCAGTACATCGGAGGGTGGATCCTTCTTTTTGCCATTAACTGCCTCCAGGCTCGGACTAGGTGCCGCTCCCGAGGGCGTCGGCGTGTAGACGATCTGGTGCGTCACCTTCTCGAGCACTTTCTCCATACGGTCCAACCTGTCGCTGACTTCTGGCTTATCACCGGACACAGATGCCACTTTACCTTTGCGAGGGTGGTACGCTAATTCCGGGTACAATGTTGATTGTGGATCCGGCACCACCCGTTCTATCCTTCGCTGGTGCAAGCTATTCTGTGCCGCCGTGGCCAGCGCGTTCAGGGACCGTATGGAGTTCACTTCGGACCTCCGTATTTGACCTTGAATGTCCGGGAGAAGGTTGGCGTGTAGCAGGTCCAACTGACTATCAGGCATCATCTTAGGGTTCAGCCGATTCATCAGGCCCATCATGTTAGCGACGTAGACGTTTACTGGTTCGTCTGGGCCCTGATATCGGCTCTGGACCTCCTTCATTAGACGCTGTTGCTACTGCACGCTGGTCCCGAACC